TAGGACTACCCCCCCATTCAGACTATAGGTCCATTAATAGACTCGAACAAGCGAATGATAGCTTGGTCCACTGCGCCAGCTCAGGCAGTAACCAATGGATAAGGAATCTGCCCTGACCGGGTTAGCACCCATGCAGCGGGTATTATGTGACACAGGCGGAAATGTGGGGCGTGAATTGCGAGTGCAGCCCACGGGCATGCGCACTCCAGTCTCGGGGTATCACACTGTCTGAGATACATGGCGAGTACACATGACTGCATACTTTTGCTCCTTTTTCAAGTCCCGACGAAAGATATTTATCTCATCAGTCTCCTTTTTCTTCCGCCATATCTGGAGCCTGTATGTATTCGATAAACGGGGAACACTAACTCTCTCGATAAGCTCTACCCCCGAATAACTCTGGATCCTGCTCGACGACCATGGGTACGGTGTGAAACCCGATTCAGGAAAGGGGAGGGAGGAGAGAGAAAAAGAAAAGAAAAGAAACTTACCATGGTGTGGTCCAAGGAACTTGCCACAGATGTGAGTGAGGTCAGTCAAGAAGCGGCGTATTTCAACTGAAATTTGCGAACCCTTAGAGATTACGATTGTTTCCCCCCTGTCGGAAGATTGGTCTGCCCTCGGAATCCACAAAACCTTAAATTCCCTGCATGTGCAGACTATCTCAGACATCCATAACAAGTACCTGTGATTTACTCCGCCTTTTTGTTTCTGCGATACCAGGAACCAGCTCCCTGGGTCCCCCGGGAGCCCCCCCTGCCCGCCAACCTTAACTCTCTGCGCTGACGTTGCCTGGAAGAACCGACGACGGGGGTGCGTGTGCACCTGCAATCCTCGTCACTCTATTGCCAGCAACCTTACGGCCCTCTCCCTCTCCCTCTCCCTCTCTTTCCCTCTCCCTCTCCCTTCCTCGCTTCCCTCGTTTCCCTCATTTCCCTCGTTTTCTTCTTCCCTTCTTTCCCACTTCTTGCCTCTTTCCCCACATACCTCCTTCCCCAGCCCTCTTCCCTCTTCATCCTTTCCCCTTCCCCCACCTCGCTATCTCCACGCCTTCTCTCACTCACATACTCTCACCATTTCTCTCACCGCTCCACCTCTCTCTCTCTTCGCTTCCATTACTACTTACCATTTTGCCACTCATTCCTCCCTCTCACTACTTTTCAATCTCTCTCCCGTCCTCACCCTTTTGAATTGACAAACTATCCCTTCTCTCAATTATCAACTCTCACTCCATCTACACTACTTCATCCATTATATCCGTTCATCCATCCCTCACCCATTTGCCTCTGATAAACCTCTCTAAAAGAGATTTATCTGGTGTTTCATATACTCTCAATCTCCGGTTACAAAACTTCCTACAATGCATGACTTCGATTCTGTAGAAGGTAAGACTTTCCTTTCACACCACTTCCATCCTCACTTGATCCTTTTTAATTAGTTTACTACGTCTACCCTATTTTTTCTTTTTTCTTCCTTCCTTCTTTTCGGGTTTTTTTTTTTTTTGTTCTCCAGGCGTAGAGGCTCTTGGATCCCCAAGCTTTTACACTACATGCCTTGCTCTTGTTACCAATTATGTACGTGGGGAAGCAGGTTTCGTTGTTGTGCTTTTGTGTTGGTGGCTAGTGCTTTAGCTATTATGGTTTCTCTGCTATTGTGAATCATAGTGTTTCACTCGTTTATCTAGAGCCGCGCTAAGGTTATAATTTTGTTTTTACGGATCTAACTGTTTCTTGGGGAATTCTAGCCCAGGACTCCCATGCTAGGGCTGGGCCTACTAAAGCGGAGGACAGCGTTGCTTTACCCCAACCTAGTACTCCGGTTCATCAGATGTGGCCGGCTCATGAGTCATCATCGTCAACGATCTCGGAACTCTCGGAGGTTCCCACCCTCCCGAGCTCTCCGGGGTATATAAAGGTTGAGGGTGATGGTGATGGAAATAAAGCAGGCTGTTCTGAAGCTACCCCTATATCTCCTACTGCGCGGCCTAGAGCCCGTCGCCCCCGCCGGATTGATCATTGTGCAGATCCTGAGATGGTTGCTGCATTGCGAGTGCCAGACACCAACCCTGAAATAATAATCACCGACTATCGTCGTGTATCTCAGCGAGTTCGCGATTCGGCGTTGAGGAGTTCTCATGCCAGAGTCTCAAAAATATCCCCACTTGCTACAAGGCGTAGATCAAAAAACACAGTGAGGCATCCTATGAATCTCAAGAAAGAAGAGACGGAACACGAGTTGGCGTCTCCCGAGATTTTAAAAGATGTCGAAATTTTTTCTTTAGGTGTTGCTAATGGTATACAACAGATCCCACTGGCACCTAATAAAGATGCCATGGCTCCCTCAATATTGAAGAGGAAGCATGATGAAAAAAGGCAGAATTTGGGGGGTTTAGCCATTACAGATTCAGCCGACACTGTTGCTACAACGGAGACCGAACCTGAGTGTGTCAGTGCAAAGCATTTACTGCTTGGACACATTGACAACCCTTGTGAAAACAATATTGGATTGGGGAGAGCACGGCGCTATTCTGGGGATAAAGATTCTAGTGAACGAGGGACGCTTTCGGAACTACATGGTATGGTTAGAAAAGATACCATGTATACTAATGGTCGGTCTACAGATGATGGAGGTGAGAGCCCCCAGAGCCCCATAGAAGATGAAGGGCTTTCTCTGAATGCAGATAACATTCTTCTCAATGAAGGTTTTGGCTCAGAAGTACAAGAATTTGACGATTCTCTAAAACTCTCGGATGAGAATGTTTTGAAAAAACAAAAACTCAATAACAGTCAAGTTTTAGAACTCTCAGAAGCAAAAGCTTTGGGGGGGTTCAATGAGCCAGATGTTCGTGACCCGCGCGTCGACGAGAATGCATTCCGGGTGGTAGATGGTGTTTTATCCATTCCTCGTGGATGTGATTTGTGAGTTTCTTCTTAATCCCAATTTATGCTATTTCGTTTTCACCCTAACCTTTGGGAAATTTTTGTAGTTGCGGTGAGCTTCGTTATTTTTGTGATCGAGCCCTACCTTGCGGTAGGTGTGTACGTACTGGGCGTGAGCGTGAATGCAAGAGGGAACTTGGGTGGATGCCCGCTAGGCCCAAGCAACAACGCATCAAGCAAGGAGACGATACCCGAGCTGCGCTGCCACCACACCCAGGAGCATCTTCTAGCAAGAATTTAGGGGATTTGTCCCTCCAAAGTACATCTGTCATAAGAAGAGGGAGACCAAGAAAATCCGATGTCAGAGGTGGGGAGATCAAGAGCGAGACCAAAAATGAAATCAACGAGATGAAAAAGGTGAAACCCTTACTTTGGAGCTCAATAGATTTTCAAAAGAACAAGCCTCCTGGTATTCGCAAACCAGAAGTATGGTGTGAAGTATGCTCTCCTCCCCTCTTGTTAGCAAAAGAGTCCGCTTTAACATTGGTGAATAGACCCGCCAAGAACTTTGTGAGAGTTTGCCCTACTACCGGAGCTATCAGGCGGGTTGCTATGGCCATGACGGCTTGGTGCATGGGTACTTGCTCGATGGTTTCGCATCTCCGAGAGACTACATTAGCTCTAAAGTAGTTATTTCGCACAGGCAGGTTTAAACAAAAATTACCCTAAATCTAAAACAGTTCCTAATAGGTTTCTACAGTGGCGGAAAGTCAGGGACTGACGACAATGGCCAACGGAGACTACTCATGGATCAGACTATTGACGACAACACAATCAAATACCTAATTAGAAATATGAATCAGAAGTGGCCGTTGGTCTTGATAATGGGTATTAGCTGCATTGATCCCGGCCACACATCTTCAGGCCATTGAAGCTAACACTAAGTATAGGCAATCAATGTACAAACTCTCCATCAAAGATCCCTCATAGATACTGTGTGATGGATTGGTTCAAGGTGACCGCGGCCTGGGCTGAGAGAGACCCACTCAGCCAATGCATTCGGTGGAAGTTTCGGTTTGAAAAACTAAATACCACTTCCGATGGCTGGTGGGCTGCCACTCCATCTGAAGAGTCAAATCCTCCCCAGGAGATGACCAAAGTTAGTTGCTCAAGCTGTGAGAAGGAAAGCCCTCATATTTATGAAGAAGGTTGGGCTTGTCTCAATCCCAATTGCAAGCGCTTTTGGATGGTAAGCTATGCGACGCAATTCACTATTCCACTAATTTTCACTAAAAAGCAATCTAGATTAATGACGCTGGTATGCCCACCAAACTTAACTACACGGAAAACTTCCTAAGTTGTCGTACCCCGTGGCCCGAAGATTTCCTCCAGCCACCCAATTCATTGGCACCACCTTTGGATACTGAACTCTCTGCCCATGTAGAGAGTGGTGGTGTCTCGCGCCCTTTCTGGAAGGGAATGTGTTGTCCTACATGTGGACGTTTGAGTTGTAGAGAACTTTGGGCTGGGTGGCTTTGTCCGGCATGCGGGTTTTCTTATAATCCGCCTCGCACCGTCTTTGATGCTGCACGTCTTGCAGATCCTCACCGGCCTGTCTACACTGGGCCCGCCATTCCAAATAATTTCCACAATGAGGAGATAAACTCAAAGAGGTTCGTTAAAGAGGGGATGACAGTGGTTCAGTATCAGCTAGGAGATTGCGGTACTGTCACACATATTCTGGCTAACAAGGTGAGCAACTCGAGACATGAGGATGCCAACTGGTTATTGGAAAATTATCAAAACCTTGATATGCCGTTTAGGCGATTTCCTATGAAGTGCCATCACTGTGAGCAAAACCCCTCCGATTCCTGAGGCACAAGAAAATACTAATATATGAATAATTGAAATAGCTCAAGGAAGATTGCTCACCCAGCAGTTTATGTACAACTGTGGCGCTCCCTACAAATTCATTGTCGATGTCAATAGCCTCCCTTTCCACGACTCCCCCCCTGTTGTCCTAAAGGCTCTGGATTTGATACACCAGCGCGTCCAGTTAATCCATCCCGAGGCCCAGTTCAACGAGGTTCTCAATGTGGGGTATTTCGAAAAACAGAAAATGGATGTGAGTAATGATCACACCCTTTTTCCTAAATGCTATATTTGGAGCTAATATTAAAATACTGCAGTATCACGACGATGGCGAAGAAGGGTTAGGGGAAACGGTAGCCTCTATCTCTCTTGGTGGTTCGGCAAGAATGAAATTTCGTGTGAAATCTAAGTATAAGAGTGATCGGCATTGTTGGACAACCGAACCTGAGAAGCATCCCCAAGACGCTGGGTCCGGTTACAGCATTTGCAACGAGGAGAATCTGGAAGATGAAGAGGAGGAAATTTCTGGAGAGATAGCAGCGGGTCTTCAAACCAATGCATCCTCTATGCGTGCTAAGGGAAGGTCCAATAAAGCCATGCTAGATTTATGCCTTAACCACGGCGATGTTATGGTGATGAAAGGGGCAGGAATTCAAACTCACTGGGAGGCAAGTTTTGCATTCTTGATTGTTTGCTTATTTCAAAACTTAGGACTAATTTTCCCAAAATATTTTAGCATACCGTGGTTCCCACAGGACTATTCAGAATTGCCGCGACTGCAAGATATATAGCCCACAACGCATCAGAAGGAGCCTCGGAGAAGCAGACAATATTGGAAACTGAGACGAATAGTGATGTTTCAGCTTTACCTTTTACTGACACCAAGTCCATTAAGGTAGAGGACTCCACAATAGATGTTGACGGTATCCAAACAATCTCAGCCAACGGGCTCGATGGATCCGATCAGTCTGGTGTGATTTATGAGAGGGCTAATCCCTCCCAAAGTCCGGTTGAGCTCCATGGGCCGGGGTTTGCCATCTCCCCGGCTGCGTCTATATCACAAGAAACCTCATCAATTCCTGTCGCTTCGTCTCCTTGCAGAGGGCGCCAGGGATTGAATACTTACACACAAACTGAGGCATCGCAGCAACCGTTTTTCCCTCAAAATATGCCTATGCCCACAGAACCTATTCCTCCCCTCGAAACTATCGCTTCCTTCACACGCTCTAGCCACCAAATACAATTACCCCACCTTTATGATATGGGGTCCCCACACCCTCCCCCACCCACTAACCAACCTGGAAGCTACCACAGGGGAGGGAGTCCAGAATTCCCGAATCCCCCAAATACATACTACCCCCCAACAACCCAGACACAGATCACACCTTCATGCCATACCGGTCCTTATGGACAGGGATTGACATCGGATGACAGAAACTCCTACATGCCCCCGCCGTGGTTTAATAGACAGAGCTCACCGACATACCCCTTCAATAGTCACTCCTCGTACGAGCATTACTCACCTTCAGAAGTGTACAACATCTCAGAAAAAGCAAATAATATTCAAAACACTTTTAACACCACCCCTCAGAAATCAAATGTTTATCATAACATTTTCTGCGGCAGCGATCAGGGAGCCAATGAGCTCGAAAACCCCCTCACCAGCAATGCGACTCCGATGCATCTATCTAATACGTCTGGCCTTTTTCAGAACGACAACAGCAACAACGAGGCTGGGAATCCGGAAGCTAGCTATGCTGGCTCCTTCGACACCGATAGCACTGATAAGAGGCACGTCCAGCTGCTTTAGGAAATGTGGCAAGTGGATCTGCGACAAGACATTTCGGATGCCTTTGAATGGTGGTAATATAGGGTCGTTCAAGATAAAAAACTCTCCTCCTTATTTTCATCAGTTTCCATTGATACAAAAAGCTATCCTTCTCATTGCTTTCACCTTGTTCCGCTCTTTTTTTTCTCTTCTTTTTTTCTTCTTTTTTATCCTCTCTTTCAACAGCAGGGAGGCTTTAGGTCGGATGCCTGGCTTAAAGTTTGCATCGCGAAACATTCTTTGAAATATACTTTTAATGGGCCTTTATTACTCTTCTTTGCGTCTCACTTGATGATTGCTTCCCATTTTCATGTTATAAGGATTTCGCCAGCACCTGGGGGCGAAGATTCAGCGAAATCTGTTTCTATTTTTTCTCCTGATTGCTTCTAGGTTCCGTTACGAGCACGATTGATTGATGTACTGTGGAGGGGGGTTTGTGTCGGCTTAGGTGAAAAGGCCTTATTTGATGGTTGTACCCTTTAATTCAATGAATATCCACAAAATTCATGGAAACGAATCTTAGTTAGACAACTCAGTTGTAATATGCTCCTTCGCGAGCCCAGGCTCATATGCCAAGCACACAGACAGTTGCTTATCGCCGTCCATAGCAGAAAATTTTCAACACTACTGATACTTTTCCCACAAACAGATTCGGCAACTTGTTAACGCACAATTAATTATCATACGGAATCACCAAACTCCAAAATTTAATTCTTCTCGTCCACAGAACTTGCATGGACTTCCGAACCGCTTACTATCGTTCTCCTCCACACAGCCCTTGGCAAAATCTTTCTCGACCGGTTTCCTCTTAGATTTCTTATTCATCCTATATCCATTTTATCCTATTATCCATTCCTAAGCTTGGCGATGGAAGCATGTAGGAAGATCCGGCCAAAGCTCCCTGGTATTGTGAACCTGTTTTATCGAGAGCAGGTCTCAACAGACAATAGTCCTGTCACTACATTGCTGTACCCGGAGATGGCTTCGGGCCAACGCCCTGTTTCGCACACCGACTTTCGTGGGGTTTTTAGTGTGAGGTGGTGTGCTGTTTGAAAGCTATGATATCATATGATACAATAGAATTCGCAAACTTTATAAAAACACAGCAATACTATACAGGGTTGAAGAAATTATTGGTCTGCTTTCGCCACATATCGCCCCCCCCCCCTGCCCTTTATGACGTGAGCCCAACAGAGTGCAGTTTGAGAAGCCTTACAAAAGTTAGAGTGCGAAACAAGGCCTAAGTAGGTAAGTAACGCTTTGGATTGTGCCAGTTCATCATAGGGTATCACTCGGATATGTTGTCTGGACATTGGAGGGGTTATGGTGCTGGGGTAGTCCAGTGAATTCGTTGGCATACGATAGTGGGCTGACTGGGTATGGTATGATACTCAAATCCCCTCGTGGAGGTTTAGGGTGGGTGGGGTCGGTAGATGTAGAGATGAGATGTCGGAATCGATATAAGGGGGTTATTTGGCCATTGTGGAGGTGTTTCTTCCCCCGGTATCATAGGTAGGCAGGGGTATTCTAGGTTTGTGTTGCAGTTGCGGGACAGCAGTCCTGCCTAAAATAGTCATAGAAGTACTATAAAACCTGCTTGGCACGCTGTAACAACCGCATTCTCTTCCAAAGGAAGTGTTCTAACATGACACCCCTTAACTATAGCTCAAACTAAAGACCTCCTACCGGATTTCTTTTTTTACCGCAAACGCCAGTTAGCGAGCTGCTACCCGGATATTCTCTTTCTATGCTCTCCGGCGTGGGTGTTTGGTATTCAACAACCATTCTTCAAGAAAACATATTTTTTAATATTGTGGCGTGCCAAACAGGGCATAAGAAAATCCGAAGGTATGATAAAGTTTTTCTTTTTGACCCCGCGGGGGAAAGAAAACATAATTCCGGTCATGGAGGTCACTAACTTTCGTTTGCTGGTCTTTATTCACCCGTCATCGCCTTCACAGTTTTTTCGTCTGCCCTCTTTCCACCTTACGTCCCCCACCCACTAACAATATCTATGAGCCAGACCGCAAGCCGCACCTTACCCCGTGGTAGCTGGGCCATCACAGGAGACGAATAACATATAAGTCTGAGTTCCGGAGGCTTCGGGAGAGGCCAGAGAATTATTGAACTAGTATGATAGGTGGGTTCTGCCAATTGGCTCAAAAACCCCTGAACGTGCTGGACCCCCGTGGGTGATGAATGAAAACCGCAGGGCCCTACAGGCGTCTGGCGGCACCCATTGGGCGCTACACATTATCGGGTGGTTGTTGAGGATTGACGACTGCAGGCACCCTCTGTCACCTTTTGAGCACCAGTCTTTCCGGAGGATAAACGCTCTTTCCCTAAAGTATGAGACACCCCTGGGGTTCCCGGTACCCCTGAGACTATTGGTTCGATGAGTGCTTGATCCAGAAACACAGTTTCTCCTATCACCTTGGGGTGGTCCTGGTTGTTTTCACACTATGCACCGGGCAGGCACATGTTATCTGTTTAGGGCCACTCCCCGAACTGAACTGTTTACGAGTAATTATGATATCTATATCTCTTTACACGACCCCCGAGCTATCCTACCCGCACACTGAGAGCTGATATATTAGGGCCAACCGGACGCTAAAACCACCTGCTTATTCAACACTGCCCTCACTAACTTGATGGCACAAATCACATATACGCATTCAGGCCTGAGACGGAGCGAGACTAATAGTTTCTATATCCGCACATTCCTCAAAGCTGACAAAACCGACCAGCTTTGGAGAATCTAAAGATCTGACCTCGTTTCCCTTCCATCCTCTATCAAAATCGCTCCCGGCACATACACCATTGAAACCTCAGCAATACCCCAATCTAGCACGGATATTCCATTACCATTGTCTTCCGGGCGGGAGCCCCCAAATGGCGCTATTTACCCGTTTATCGTTTCCTCCCTTCAGGAGCCAGACAGCAAATCTTTAGCAAATGTTTAATTGAACAAACTTCGACCCATGAAACATGGAGGGCGATCAAATGATATCCGGTGATAGACCGATCTAGAACCGTGTGTCTCACATCTAACTTTATTAGATTAATCGAAACACCACCTCCAGATTCTAGGGATTTATTATATGCCCCGCTGACTCAAGGCGCCACGGTTATCCAGTCGACAGCTTCCCAGACCACCCAGACAGCAAAACCCTAACAAAAAAAACTTTCCAGTAGTTTACCTAAATGAACTATGGAAACTATGCTAACTACCACTCGTTTCCTCATACAAAACCTACACAATCAGCATCTATCCAGGTGGGAGTGTCCGAGCGGCCCAAGAGGCTGTCTAACTTGGGAATTTCCTGTACCAGCTTTATCCGTACGTAAAAGAGATGTAGTACAGGGCAATTATTATCCACAATTAACCAAAACTACACCTAGCGATACGCTTTATAGGACCGACAGCTGCCTTACAATTAGTATTTACTAAGAGCTGGGTAGGTGCCTACAAGAACAAGCGTTAGCACAAATATCCCCCTATTACCCGTTCAACTAATGGCCTCTTCAGGCATCGCCCAGTTAGTACTGTCTCAAACGCCAAAACGCACCCATATGGGCCTCCTATCTCTTTGTGCGCCGAAAGCGAGAATCGGCACTCCGAACGATCAACACTCCGTCCCGAACAGCACAACAAAGTTGTTCTTATCTGGCAATCCTTCAGATGCCACAACTTTTTATGAATTATGCACCTGAGCTACCTCATGCTTCTTGTGCCCCCTTGCTTCCAAAGTCCCCGGTATGGTGCCCGTACAGTGCCTGTCACGCTGTGCGAAACCTTGAAGTGGCTATCAACATGAGAGATTCGCAGGGCTGTTGAAAATCAATTAGACTGAAGCAAAAGCGGATAACCTTCAGAGTGGTATTGCGATTCCAGACTCAAAAGCAACGTGGCCCGAATCTTCCCGGGGCCCAAGCTTGCGACACGAGTGAGAGACTATGAGGATTAGATCAAGTGATTGGTATTTCCCCCTCTCTCTCTGCGATAACAAACAACTGATGTCTGGGCCCCTCACCGTCGAAAATTTGCCCTTCCATTCCCTGCATTCTGTCGTTTTTTATCTACTTTTTCTCAACGCTATACGAGACCCCGATGTAATTCTCTCCACATAGCGGCACCTCATAAGCTCACCGGATTATGACAGGGCAGCCACGGCCGGTAGTTAGGCTTTAGGGTCTTGCAATCAATGAAACAATAGGGAAATAACGGTTGCACATCCCAGCATGCATAAACAGTTGAAATCCCCCCACTAAGGATAGCGAGGGAGAAGTGTAAACCACCTTATTCAACCACTCCACCATGCACCATCTGCTTGGGGCCGAGATGCCAGCAGAGCAGACAAATCGTCAAAGTCCCCCCCAGTGCCCCCCAATGACATTGCATGCAGGCTTCTTTAATTCTCGTCATCTCCAGTGTTACCAGCACTCTCGGAGCTCTTTTACGGCAACCACGACATGCCTCATGAGGCTTCGCCTGGGAGGTTAAACGGCCAATTACATCTTGTACGGTGTCGTATAGGTACTTTATACTGTAAGTACCCTTGTGCCAGCATTGGCATGCAGGGTTGCAACAAAGCGCCGAATGTACCCCGCGATGCAATAGCACCTCCCCGAATTCACATGGACCCACTGGGTGAAATCCCCCCCTCCGGCAGTCCGATTACGTATTTTCTGCGTACATTCTGCGTTCCAGCTGTGAGAAAAACGGACTAACCCTATGTGCATCAGCGAGAAAGTTACCTCGGAAAAATCCGAAAAAGTAAAGCCCACGAAGGCGAAAAGAGAAAAGAGAAAAAAGAAAGGAATATTCTTGGCATTGCGGTTTACCTTAGATTTCTTAAGCCCTAATGCGGATGATTATTGACTCACCACGCGACGTATGTATTCGCCCGCGGCGAAGTGCAGGAATTTATGATAGAACATTGGCCCCGTTTGCGAACATGCTGTTCGGACTTTCGTGGGGCTTCTGGGGCCACGCTTCTATTGGATTGGGTGGAATTGGCTACCTCACTAAAACGAAAACGTCAAGATTAGCAGATTGGGTAGGATTATTCTTGGTGTATTCGAGTACAGTGCTGTCCTTGAGTACTCAGCAAAAGCAAATATAGTGGGTCATCTGCTCACCAGCAGATATTGGCTTGGAGATCCCTTCCACCTTTGCTACCTAAAGGTCAGGTCCATTTTCTGCTGATGCAGCCTCGGAGAAGGGAGCCTTTGAATTGAACATTGAAATTACCCTCAAGCTAAGCTCCCGAATTCCCAATCCCAGAAATCCCAAAAAATGATTTCCCTCGCTTTCCCAGCACCGCCCTCGCCGCCGCCGCCGCCGCCACCATCTGCCCAATAAAGACGACATTACCCCAGATTGGCCAACAGGACGCTGGATGGATGGGCCAGATTGCCGAACCATGGGATTCCTGGGACGTCTCAGATCACTTCGGGTAGGTTACGAATCCAATGAGAGCGTTGAGGTGTTTATGCTACCGTGCTCTCCG